AATGTGAAATTCCTGCTGAATCTCCTCCAGGCTGCACCGGAGCTGCTGCTGCTATACAGACTTGTGAATAACCATTACGTCTCATGCAAATAAGCATATTGTGTAAAACTGAGGGTGCAGATGTTTAAAACAGAGTGTATATGAAATTATTAGAGAGGAGTTGCTTTAAGACACCAGATTTCAACTTTGGTCTTAGCCCTGCTCGAAGCCTTTCGACCTGCTCCATTGGCTTTTCCACCTGCAAATACTCACCTCCCTCGAGTCTCCTTGAGTCTGTCTGGAACCACTTACGTCTTGAGTCCTCGGAACAGCCAAAGATCAATCCAACCTGTCGACACTGAAACTGTTCTTCTGGTTTCCGCCTTCCACCTCCTACCATCACTCACCTGTACTCCACTCCTCTGGAAGCTCCACGCTCCTCTTCAAAGCTGCTCCATGCTCCAAGCTCTGTAAGACTAACTGGAAAAAGTAATTACTGAAAACGCTTGTTCCATGGATCCCCTTACCTGACCTTCTTTTCCTTGCAGATGATTCCCCTGTGTAAATATTAATTTCACAATAAACTGTACTTACCTTTTCAACCAAGTTGGGTCCTCTCTGTCAGTTTGATTATTCTGAATTTAAAACTAGTCAGTACCTGATAAAACTATGATATAAATTGTTCAAAACAGTTTTTAATAGAACCCTATTTTATACCAAAACCAAGAAAAACATATCTATACAGCTGTGATTGGGGATTTTGGGTTAGCATCTTAAGAGTGCAAAACAACTGCTTTGTTTCAATTTATTTTATTTTGTTTTGTGTGATATGAATGTAAAAGATTATGAACTCAGTTTTTATATATACTGTACAAAAACATACTCAGAGTTTTATTTTAAATCTGAAAACCTTCTATATTGTAAACATTTAATCAAGTGAAGCAACAAAATACGATGGCATGGAAAAAAGTAACGAGAATTAACGGTGGTTTGAATAAAAGAGGAGTGAGTAATTCTTTTCATCCTAAAATGATGCGTCACACAGTCTGAACCACATGAATTCCACTGGGAAAAGTTGATTTATGGTAATGCAAGCATAATATAGCAATAAAAGTCTGGGAATTCACAACATTTTTCTCAAACTTTCTGTGAGACGAAAACGTGATTTATGACTGTTAATATCCTTCTGCTTAAACAGACTAAATTCATGTTGGCCTCAGATATGCGTTTATTCCAGACTAAATGTGAACCTTGTTCTATTTTGTGTTTGTCACCTCTAGTTTAAAATGATAACCTCTGAGAAAAAGAAAAACCTTTAGAGTAAGGTAACTCCCATCTCAGGTCAACACATCTAGATTTCATTATTTCTTTTATTAATCCATCCATCCATTATCTTCCACTTGTTCTGAAATCGGGTCGCGGGGGCAGCAGTTTGAGCGTGCTCCAGCATGTCCTGGGTCTTCCCAGGGTCTCCTCCAAGTCGGACATGCCTAAAGCACCTCCCCAGAAACATGCCCAGGGAGCATGCTTTACCAAATGCCTGAACCGCCTCAACTGTCTCAATGGTTCTACTCTGAGTCTCTCCCAGATAACTGAATTTGCTCTAAGGGAGAGTACCTGCGCTGTATCCGCAGTCTCGTTCTTTCAGTCACTACCCAGAGTTTATGGCCATAGGTGAGGGTAGGAGCATAGACCGAATGGTAAACAAAGAGCTTTGCCTTACAGCTCCGCTCCCTGTTCACCACAATGGACCGGCACAGAGTACGCAATACTGCACATACTCTGCAATTCTTCATTATTCTTGGCATAGAAGTCTGAAACGCCTATTATTGGAGAAAAGTATGATAGATAGATAGATAGATAGATAGATAGATAGATAGATAGATAGATAGATAGATAGATAGATAGATAGATAGATAGATAGATAGATAGATAGATAGGGACGGACGGACGGACGAACGGACGGATGGACGGATGGATGGATGGATGGATGGATGGATGGTGTTTGTTCTAGAGCAGCCAGTGCCAACGTCATCTTAACAATAAAGCCAGTTTTTGACTGAAAACGTTCAAACACAATTTCTAATCTCTCAATAATGTCACTGTACTGTAACAAACACAAGCAGGACCAAACCAGTTTAAAGATAGTTTATGATTAATTCAGTTAAAATCAATTAATTATCATTGGCTTTGAGTTAGAATTGAAGGCATGAATCGTTTTGCAGCAATACCCTCAAACCCCAAGTGAACAGGATGATCTTCATGAATCAAATGACTGACGTCTCAAAGTATAGCATGCTGCTTATCACCATCAGATGGGTTTCTGACAAACATATGTGATTCTAAACAGGTTCATTGAGTGTGAGGTCAATAGGCAGTCACGTTGAACACAAAAACCTTTGTCCACAATTGTTCCACATATCTTTGGGGTTTGTTTTTCAACCCTTGGTTTGAACCTTTTACTATCAGACCTTGGGGAAGTACACGACAGCTTTTATTTGGCACAATATGTGTAACTGATATTAAATTATAATGACTCATCCAGAAGTGATACACCATTTTCCACAATTGCAGTCTGAATGTCCCTCAATGCTTAAAGCTATTTTCTAATTTTATTTCAAATCACTTTTAGATACAGTATAAAAACAAGGAAAACACTATGTTCAATTCAGCTGTTCAAGCAAAATTCACATTTGACACAGATAAACAAATTCACCTGAAGGATATCACAAATGTTGTTTTCATGGACCATTTCACAGCCATTAACAAGTCAATCATGGTGGTGCAGTGCTGAGCAGTCCAATCTCTGAATGACATGTTCTGGTTACATGAAGTGCTATGAGGCAAAAAACGTCTCTTTTTCCTGCCAGTCTCAACTGATCAGTGAGTTGTTTCCAAAAGAAACATCTCTTACAAGTCAAAGAAAGCAGCTTGTTGCCATTCTTGGAGCTTTCTTCACCAGCAGCTGTGCTGTGTACGTGTAGTACCCCATCACTGACACTGACTGTGGGCCGTAGCCTGGCCTTTAGGTGTTTCTGATTTCAACAATGTTCAGTCAGGTCATCTGGACAGTTTCTTTTTTTTTTGTTGTTGAGAGATGTTTTGCCCTCCGTCCGAAGGGCTTCATCACTCTGATGAGTCACGAACAAACTGTTTTCCCCACTAAGCAGTACACTCCTACAGTGGACCAACCATTTAGCTGGTGATAAGATGGTTTCTGTGGGCTGTCCTTTGCCCCGTCGACTCCCCCCAAGCTGCCACAGCCAAAGTGGTTCAAGACATCAAGGTCCATGATCAATAATCCTTGATGTCTGGTGCCCATGTCCAACCATCACTGTGCGAGTGGTGGGGTACACCCTGGACAGGTTGCAAGTCCATCACAAACGAGGCAAACAAGTGTGAATGGCATCAACTTGATTTTTAAAAATTCTGGGGAGGACCCCCAGACCCCCCCACCAGTGTGCCCCCCACCCCATTATGAATGCTTCTGACGCCATTGGCCACCATGTTGTTCAAGACGATAACCATTGTCAGCACTGGGGGGCTAAGCACCCCTAAAGATCAGATTGTAGAATCGCCCCTGGAAACAACTCTTCAAAAATGTCATACTGGTGTGAAAGAATGCCACATTCATTTATATTAAACCTATACGCTCTTGCATGAGACCTTTATGATTGCATGTGTACATGTATATCGTTTCGTTGGTACTGAGGTTGTGAACGCATTGGTCCACTGGATAAGCACGTCTGTTTACTCAACTCCCAGCGAAAACTGCTCAACAAAAATACATCTGAATAGTAAAATGGATGTTTTTCATTTAAGGAAACAGACTCAAACTAAACAAACCGTGTGGTGCAATAGTGTAAAAGTTTAATATTAGCTAATGTAGAATTCTTTATACAGGTATGACGTTTTTGGAAAAAGTTGTTTATTAAGCTGAAACAAAACTCCTCAGCACAGCCCAGGGGTTCCAATCCTGCTTCCTGAAGGGCCACTATCCTGCATGTTTTTTTCTGTTTACTTACTCCAACACACCTGATTCAATGATTGAATTACCTCTTCATGTTCTGCAGAAGCCTGTGTCACCCATTGATTCAAATTTAGGTGTGTTGGAGCAGAGAAACATGCAGGATAGTGGCCCTTGAGGACCAGGATTGCACAACCCTGGGCTAGCCTGAAAGAAAACTTCTGCTCTTTTCTTTATATTCTGTGACGGATATCACAACTGATAACATGCAAACTATTCAAAACCATTTGAAAGACTATATCTTTAAAATGACCAGACTTTCTCTTTAAGAGGGCTGCAGGTCATGTGGCAACACTTGTGCAAACACATAAGGTTTGGGCAAAATAAGTCATTTGTTATGATCAGAATCATTTCACTATGTAACTTCCAGTTCAATAACTTAAGTAAACAGGATTAGGGGTGTTTTGTTGCTGAGTGTGAATGTGTTTCGGAAAGACAAACAGTCAGGCTCTGCCTTGAATGCAGGGGGCATGGGTTTAACCAGAGTTTAGGGACTGTTTTGACGTCATAGATGGTTGGAAACTGGTGGTTTATATGACAATATAATCATGTTCATGAGGCTATGACCTCCCAGAGGTATCCAAAGGTTATCCATGATTCACTCTGATAATGAGCTTCATCACTTAGGCTGTCATCCTGACTCCTTTGAGGCCAAGCCTAATGTCTACAGCCAGCAAAGCTCTGAGAAACTACAAGACTAGCAATATACTGAAACACTAACCAATGTGAATGAATAATTGCCTAATTATTTAGCATAATAGTAAAGTATACTCTTAGTATGTGCACTAAAAGAAGGAAACATGCTGTAAAGTTTGTAATTTTAATTAAAAACTTTTCATTTTTTCCCTTAAAGTGCATCTTTATCAGATACTGTACAAAAGCTGCAGTAATACAAGAACTGCTGGCTTCATTTGCCTGTCTGGAGTGCATCACAATGACCCTTTGGTGCTGTTTTTTCCTGAGTTCTTTCACAGTCTCGCTCACAAACGTCTGGTTATATTGGCAGCAGTGCAGACAGGTGAGCTCGGCATGGACAAAGCCTGCGATGTGAAGGGTCAGAGCCAGCACAGCTGAACAGCAGAGGCTCCTGCTGAAGGCCACAGTGACGACCCCACGGGTTGTAGGAAGGAAACAGATGGTTGACTTCCTGCACCGTGCCAGAGCACTGCAGCCCAAGCCTGCGAAGCATGAACAAGTGAGAAGTTTAACGACACCTATCAACACAATCAAGATTTATTTTTAGATGTCCAAGTATTTAGCTACCACATTGTATTTGTATTTACTGATTTTCAGCTACTGAATCATCTTCCCCATGCACCTCGACATCAGGACTTTTACAAATTTATGACTGTTTGAAGTAAAATGTCCAAGTTCTCACCCAGTAAATGCTGCAGGTGTGTTCAGGTGATGAAAGAGAGCAGGCTCACACACCAGGGAGGAGCGCTGACACACACTCGCGCAGGACTGACCCAGTGGACCCAGGTGCCCCCTCAGAGCACTTTCTGGCGGCCAAGCCGGGACAGATTTACTGCAGAAGTTCTTGAGCAATTTATGATCAGGAAAAAGGAGACAGTTGTAGAAAATTAGAGTTTGAACAAAGCCTTTTACATTTACACGCTTTACTTACTATATACTAGGGCAGCACCCATAGTAGTACACATTTCTGTACCTGGTGAGTGATGTAACCATGAAGCCGCTCCAACATTCCCACACATGTGAACTCCTGAGGAGTGAAAGGCTTCACCTGCAAAAACACACTTTTTACCCAGTGCTACTGTAACTGGGAGTTCCTCACATCATGTTCAGTAAACCCAGTTACCTCTGTGCTTAAAATAGACCTGAGAGCCTGCTGAACATCTGTCTTGTTGGTCACATTCACAGTCCACACGTATGGTTTACCAATGAACTGCTCAGCATATGGGTGCTGTGAGGTGATCTGATGTCAACA